GGGGGGGGTATTTTGTTGGCGGGGACTCTGCTCGCGCGGGGTTGCGCGGCGCGGCGGCGGGTTTGCACGTGGTGTCGCTTACGAACTGTACCTCACCCCCTCGCAAGCCGGACGCGGCCGATCGCCGAGAGAGATCTCGTGTACACGATAAGGGGGTGGTTGGAGGGGTGTACCGCGGTGTGTGTGCGCGCGCGCGCGCGTGTGTGTGTGTGTGTGTGTGTGTGTGAGGAATGTTATCGGTATTAAAACCCTACGTAATTAATAGAGCACTGACTGACCGGGACAAAACACCACGCGCGCACACTTGACTGCACGCATGGACCACAATTCCCCCCCCCCCCCAGCCTAGCCTCGCCACATTATCACACGTCTCATCAGATCCGAGCAGGACGAGGACCGCGAATAAGCCCCCCATATAAAGTAGAGTACACCGCCAAAAAAAGAGAGAATGCCAGGAAATGCAAACCAACCCTCTTCCTCCACATCCCCGCCGATGAGTGAGTCAAAGTCCCGCTTTGCTTTATTGTATGCCAAGAAAGCAATCAGCAGTCTTCCTTCACCGCTCCGGAGCAAAGAGATAAAGGTATTGTTGGTTCGCGAATAAGCACACACTTTTCATTATTCCTGCTTTCGTATCATTTTCTTCCGCACAGCTCATCATGTCTTTTTCCGAGAGGAAAAAAAATCATAAAAATAATCAGAAGCCAGAGTGCGATGGTCGGTTTTCGCCCTCAATAGGTTAAACGCGAAAGTCGACAAGGCCGATCCTGATCTTTGGGACGACTCACTGCGTGGGAAGGGGCGGCGGAGGAGGGTACAAAAGTATACGCAATGAGAAGAGGAGAGAAGGAGAAAAGGGGAGGGGGTGGGGGTAGATTGGCCAGCAAAGCGCGCTCGATCAGTGGGGGCGAGTGGTCCATCAGATAAGCAAGGAATCTGCAGGACGGCGGCGTGCTCCGGTGCGTCCCCACCGTGCCGCCGCCGCCGGTCGTCGGCCAGGTGCTCGTCGAGGCCCGCGCGGGTGCGCCAGCAGCGACCACACGTGCCACGGCCGGGCGGCGTCCACGTGTCACCCCCGCGGTCACCCTCCATCCTCGTCAACATCAACAAGGGGCTCTCGCGCTCGAGGAGGAATCCGCTAATCCGCTCTCCTATCCTCATCGACGAAGGATGCCGCCGTAAAGGTGAAGGGATTGAGCACAGACTCACGTAATTTTTGAAAAGAGGGGGGGGGGGTACAAAAGTTATGGGGTCCCTAGAGGTTCAGAACGATTGTTGGAGTCCATTGAGACCTCAATATATTTTTACCCCGGGGTAAAAATATCATAGAATCCCATCGGCTCCAAATGACAGTTCCGAACCCTTAGGGACCCCATAATATTTGGACCCCCTCCGCCCGAAAGTTTCCGTGGTTTTGTGCACCAGCAGGGCGGTGGCTTCAGGTTGGCCAGGCTCCACCACGACGACTCACCGGTAGTGCTGGTCCTGGTGCGCCTTCTCGATGCGCTTGTCCTTGGCGCGCCGGTTCTGGAACCAGATCTTGATCTGCGTCTCGGAGAGGCTGAGCGCGTGCGCGAGCTCGGTGCGGCGCGCCCGCGACACGTACTCGGAGCGCGCGAACTGCAGCTCCAGGCGCAGCGTCTGGTGCGCGCTGAAGGTGGTGCGCTGCCGCCGCGGCCCGCGGCCCTCCTTGCGCCGCCGCCGAGCCACTAAAAACAAAAAAGGAAAGAAAAGTTACCACAACGGGGTTAAAAAAAAACAACAATTCAGCAAGCACGCAAAAAAAAAAAAAAAAAGAAGAGTTCCGTCAGAGAAACGGATCGTGAAAGCAGATGATACAAAATTGAGACCAGTCTGTCGTTTTACTTTATCCTGATATCTGGAAATGTTCAGTGGGGTCTACAGTAAAATTCTGCTTATTTCGTCAAATATTAAAAGAGGTTTGTGCAGACATAACATGGACAACGCCTGGACTGCAGAGGGTCCTATGGCTAATTTTCGATCAGAGTTTTGCTTCAGCCGAATAGACAGATTAAAAGTCCCGCGCCCGCTCCAGAGCCTCGCCTAGTCCCCACCTCGGCTTCGCCTCCCCCCTCCCGACCCGCCCGCCCGGCTTCCTCCTATCTAGACCTGCATAGAGTCCTAGATAGGACTCTCGGATGGCCGGGTGGCTCACTTGCTCACTAGAGACGACTAGGGGTGGACTTATCTGCCCCGTCAGTGATAAGACCGAAGTCGTTACCGTCCCTCACGTTACGCATTACAAATTAACTTGACGGCTGCTATAGAAATTTGGCGACATGAAAGATTTTGCAATATTTCATTGGAATGCATCGCTTTCACACCCATGAGGTAGGCAACCCAACGGGCAGTAGCAGCGCCCCCCAGCGGCGGCCGTCGCAAGCAGGCGCACACCACAACACGGTACTCTAGCAGACGCAGACGCAACCGTACGCTTCTAGGGGTACCTTGAAAACGTCTTTATTCTTACTCTCCAAACAAACTCCACATTTGTCGACTATATAGTATATCATCTACCCTGGTACGTATTTACGGCTTTGTGGAAAACACAACTCATTGTGATAAATGTTCTTAACTGGTCCTTGGTCAGCTTACGTGTGTTGGTAGGTTAGAAACGCTCCGGCCGGCTCGCATTGCGTTTGGTCCAACCCCAAATCTGCCGAGCACGATCAAGCTTCAGAAATGCTGCCTCAGCAGGAACGGGCCTGTACGAACGAGTCCTCGTTAATAGAGAGTGGACCAGCTCAAGAGGAGCAACTGGATGAAGTGGTAATGTTGGACAGGAGTTAAGGACACGTCCGACTCTGGAAACCTCACCCCCATATCGATTAAGCCGCTATGACGAAATTCAAACTGTTTTGGCCCCCGATTCCGATGTACGCAGACGCTGACGTCGCTCCCCGACCTGCCACTGCTGAAGGTGTTGTCCTATGTTCCTGCCGAGGACCTGGTCGCCGTCGGGCGGGTCTGTACCCGGCTGTGCGCGCTGACGCGGGAGCATTGGTCGGTGTGGAGGAACAAGTCCGCGGGCTTCGAAGACCCCGACAGACTGCTAGACTTGCTCAAGGACCTGCTGCTGGTCACCCCGCAGTACGACCTCATCCTGGACCTTGCTGCCTCTCCCCGCTTACCGCGTCATGAAGGCCGAGACAGACTAGATCTTTCTATCTCCAACCCAATGTCCCTCAAGGCGACAAACGGAACAGTCATGTACGTACACTGCCCGAAGCCCGCGGCACCACGGGTGGCGGGTGGCCCCTGCGAGTATGCACCCGCACCGGCACGTGCAGAGTAACAGCCGGTACGGAAGGCTAATGTTTCCTTTCACTCGCAGAACGTTGAGTTTGTGGATGTTGTTCTCCGAGGACTTGGCCGAGGACGACACGCTCGCAAGGGTGCTCCGAGAACTAGTCCCGCGTACGAAGCACGCACTTATCCATTGCAAATCTTCCGATATGGACGTGATCTGTGAGAGCTTGCAGAATGCCATTTCTATGGAAACTTTAAGTTTGACTTGGATGTGGCCCAAAGACTTTGGAGCGCCGTTCTCAGGATTTAGCCGCTGCAAAAACTGGCCACAGGTAAGTTCTCTTGGGGTGGGTGGTTCAGGAAGGCGTGCCCCCCCCCC